GGGCTCGTCGCTGGCCGCCGACAGCATCGTGGACGACGTCATCGCCGAGTTTGCCCCCGACGAGAACGACCGAGAGGAGCGTCGTCGTCGTGTTGGTAGGATCTCTGCCCCGACACCGTTGCCTGTTCCAGTTCCCCAAATTAAGGCAATCCAGGCAGCCTTACATGCTGAAATGGAGGTTAGATCGGATGGTGCGTTCGAGGCTGATGGGGTTTCAGACCATGGAAGCGATATGGAGGTAGAATTGCAGCCAGAGCTGGAACTGAAGCCTGATGTGGAAATGCAACCCAAACTAGAAGCAGCTCCAGGTTCTAGTGCGGAATTGGTGGATGAGAATAAGAGCTCGGAGGAACTGAAGCAGGAGGCTAATGGGGAAGTGAAAATAGAGAAGGTGCGCCGGTTAAACGCTAAGATTAAGGCAGAGGGCACCAGAAATGGTGATATGTTGAGTGCAACAGCATGTTGGATGAAGATATGTGGGGATGGGGAGAATGCAGGAGGCAAGGGAGAAGTGACTGTTCATGATGTCGTCGATGTGGATGAAAGCTCGGAGTTTGAGCTGAAGGATGGAGCCCTGCCGTTCTATTTGCTGGATGCATATGAGGAGCCCTTTGGTATCAATTCAGGCACAGTCTATTTGTTTGGGAAGGTAAATATCATTCATACTAAGTTTCACATATAAGAGACATATGGTTAGTTGCCCACATCTGTTGAAGTGCTTTGTTTTCCTCGCTCAATATTTCACCAGCACCAAACTAAGTGATTCTTTAGCTTAGTACGATAGCTGATTTATATAAATTATGTGGTGCTTGTATTTTAGTATCTGAATGAATGAATGTACTATTCCATAGTGGCACAGATCATTACTTCCATAAAGTAGTCAATGCTTTTCTAAAAGCTCCACATATTGCTATGGTCAAGTATGTCAGAAATAGTTATCGACTTTGTTAAATAGTTACGTATTCTATTGGATTATCAGCTATTACATGTTTGCAGCTCTAAGGTTATACACACTACTCTTTTTTGACCACCTGCTTTTCTTTCTAGGTTGTAAGAGGCAAGCGCTTCCACAGTTGCTGTGTTGTTGTAAAAAATATGCAAAGGTGCATATATGCAATCCCAAGCAGTTCAGTATTCCCAAGGGACACAATATCAAGGATAGAGAGGAATTCCACAAGTTCTGATGCTTCGCCATCACTTCGAGCAACTTTACATGTGAGAGATTGATTATTTTCATACTAAGCTTAATGCTCACTGCATCATATTTATCTTACATGCACATTGCATGTCTTTTTTCCAGGAGTTGTCATCTGGACTAAAGAGTGAAATAGCTGACAAGTTGTCTGACCTCAATGTTTCAAATTTTGTGATGACTCCAGTCAAGGTTTGTAGGTGAAACCATCTTGTAACTTCTACCCCTGTAATATTCTTTGTCGATGTTAATTGTTTATATTTCTCATGCCTTAGAGGAACTATGCATTTGAGAGGACCGATGTACCAATCGGTGAGCAGTATGTCCTGAAAGTCAATTACCCATACAAGGTATGTTTATTGAACAATGCATCTTCTATCTCATATTTTCTTTTTTTCCTTATAACATATGTATTTTCTTAGGATCCTGCGGTACCAGCTGACCTTAGAGGTAAATATTTCCATGCGTTACTTGGGACAAACAATAGGTATGATTCGTAAAATGTGTGACCCATGCTATACACAACAATTCCAGTGTTGTACTCTCCGTGCCAAATCCTTTCCTCACACACAGTAACCATTGTACCTTTTCAGTGCACTTGAACTGTTTCTCATCAAAAGGAAGATCAAGGGTCCTTCATGGTTATCGATTTCTAAATTTGTGGCATGTCCATCTACTGAGCGGGTATATCCTTGACTTCATGCTGTCCTCTCATCCCAGGCTGTGTTTTATATCCAATTAAGTTATTTGATACTCTTATAGCTCCTGCCTGATTTTTTGTTGCATTATATTGGTGCTGATGGTTTTTGGCGTTTCCACAGGTCAGCTGGTGTAAATTTGAAGTTACAGTCGAATGCCCAAAAGACATTTCTGTTTTGGTGACAAGTACCACACTGGAAGTCCCCCCAGTTGTAGTTGCGGCTGTTAATCTTAAAACTATCATAAATGAGAAACACAACGTGCATGAGATTGTGTCAGCATCGGTCATATGCTGTCACCAAGTAAAAGTAAGCATGCTAATCTGGGGCTGAAGTATTTTATTCTAGTATTTGTTTGTACATACTTAAGCAGTTTAGGTATCAGGTAAATGATTGTCATTGTCTTCTGGAACAAGAATTTCTAGAAAAGCTGACATACCTTGGCAATGATGTATCAAGCAATTGAACCTTCCATGTCTCTGAATATATGAAGCAGTTCTTTTTTTTAGACAAACTGATGCACTTTGGGTTTATCTGAAACAATTATCAAGTTTACATATTTGCGAGATTATTTTATAAGCTAGAGACACTTTCTACCAAATAAAGTTGTTTGCCTTTTGGGGTCATTCCAGATTGATACTCCAATGCGTTCTGAAGATTGGCAGAAACGGGGAACGATCAGCCATTTTACTGTTATGCGCAAGCTTGAAGGAAGCATATTTCCTATAGGCCTCACCAAAGAAGCTTCTGATAGGAACCAGAAGGCTGGTAGCAACGTGCTGGCACTAGAGAGCAGGTGGGTACTGTTGTTGCTTATGCATTTACATCTTCCTTTGAACAAATCCGAGTTCTCATCTTTGCATTCATTAATCTTTTTTATTCCATTTTCAGTGAACGTGCTTTGTTAAATCGCTTGATGATTGAGCTTGGTAAACTTGATTGTGATGTACTTGTGGGGCACAACATTTCGGGATTCGACCTGGATGTCCTTCTGCACCGTGCTCAGGTTTTTATGATTATATTTCTGATTAATCTTGGTACCTCATGTTTTGATTACAAAGTATACTTCATGTTTTAATTACAAAGTATACATTATGTTCTAATTCAATCAAATAAGAAACATGTCTATGCCGTTTTTCTGCTAGACCTGCAAAGTACCAAGCAGCATGTGGTCCAAAATTGGCCGCCTTAGAAGATCAGTAATTCCCAGGCTTACCAAAGGAAACACACTATATGGTTCTGGGGCAAGTCCAGGAATTATGTCCTGCATTGCTGGCCGTCTCCTCTGTGACACCTACTTATGCTCTCGTGATCTTCTGCGGGAGGTAACCAGAATTTTAATTGTTTGGTCCAATCTTAAAGCCAAACTCAACTAACCTATATGTTTTACATAGGTGAGTTATTCTCTGACACAACTTGCAGAGACTATACCTCCAATGTTCCAATCATCGGGAACGCTTCTAAAGCTGGTGTGGTTTCTTTAAATTCAGAAATCATGCGTACTTCTTTCAAGAGAATGCCATGTCTTAAGAATTACGAACTGAAGCAAACTTTACCAATTTATCATCCTCATCTAGGTTGAGTACGGTGAGACTGACGCATGTCTTTCTTTGGAGCTTATGTTCCACTTGAGTGTTCTCCCGCTTACACGCCAACTGACAAATATTAGTGGTAATCTGTGGGGGAAAACTCTCCAGGTAAAGCATCATTATTTTTATGCAAAGTATACATCTGCAACAATGCAGTCTTCTTTGAAAAAAGGACAAAAAACAATGTTGTGTTGACATGATATCTCACATGAATGACGCAGGGTGCTAGAGCTCAGAGGGTAGAATATCTACTGTTGCATTCATTCCATTCAAAAAAATTCATTGTACCAGATAAGTTTGCTGCATGCAAGGAGCTGAACTCTGCAAAACGAAAACTTAATGCTGATACGGGAGGTGGAAACGCTGTTGATCCTTCCATTGATGATGAGGTGCATCATGGTGATCCAGGTAAAGTAAGAAAAGTCCCTTCATATGCTGGTGGTTTGGTTTTGGAGCCTAAAAAAGGTCTATATGACAAGTATATTCTACTTCTGGACTTCAACAGTCTTTATCCTTCAATAATTCAGGTGAGTCATTATTTTTCACAGATTCGGTAAGTTATGGCTTATTCTCCATGAGTCAACTGTTAAGCGATGCCCTTGATATAAATTCACTGTTTCTTTTATTCTCTTCGCTCCTCAGGAATTCAATATCTGCTTCACCACTGTTGAGCGTTCTTCTGATGGCAATCTCCCTAACCTTCCAACTTCAAAGGCTACTGGTGTTTTGCCTGAGGTACTTACATATGGAGATTTTCCGTACTTGGGGAATGGGACAAACACTGTTTTGCAAAAAATTGAGCCGCTAGCTGGGTAACAACATACTAACATGCCACCAATAATACCCTATGGGTAACCATAACACCCATATTGCTTCGAAACTTTGTCACCAAGAATATTTTTTTTTTGCTTTCAGCTCATTTTTCTGAGAAACTTGTAATTAGTAATCAGAGTTGCGATTACAGAAATAAAATATGCTATTCCTGCTTGGCCACCACACCTGTTCATGCTTTTGGTAAGGACATTGGAATTTCGTAAACTTGTTCAGTGTGATTCGAGCTTACAAGCTAC